TTGTTGCGGAGGTAGTGGAGGATAGAATTATTTGGCAAGAGGAGCGTAATGGTGCGTATAGTGTCAAGTCGGGGTATAGGTTTTAGAGGAAGATCCAAGATAATGACCGTCATTATAATGTTAAGGGTAATTGGAGAAATCTTTGGAATATAACCGCACCACCTAGAGCTAAACATTTACTGTGGCGGATTTGTAGAGGTTGTCTACCGACGAGATCCATTTTCCAGCATCATCACGTCCAATGTCCTCCTATTTTCCCTTGGTGCGAGTTGGAGGACAAAGACGAGTGGCATGTCTTTTTTGGATGTTCTTCTATGTTTCAAAGTTGGAAGGCAGCAGGTTTGTCCTCTATTATTGACTCGCGCCTGCATTCTTTCCATGATGCTAAGTCCCTCATTTTTTATGTTTGTAGTAAAGAAGATCGTCGAGTTGCAGGCAAATTTGTTGTTTTGCTTGATGTTCTTTGGTGAAGTAGGAACAAAGTGGTTTGGAATGAGACTACAGAGGATGTTATGAAGATTGAGTTGCAAGCTTATTACAATTAGCATGATTAGTTCTTAGCAAGATAAAATATTAGTGTTGACAATGTTATTAACCATCCTGCAACTTGGAGTCCGCCTATGAAAGAATGGGTGAAATATAATATCGATGTGGGTTTTAATAATACATTGGATACTGCAAACAGAGGTTGGTGTGCAAGGAACCATCTGGGTAGTGTTATTATTGCAGGTGTGGTATGGGATTATGGTACTTTATCTCCTATAGAAGCTAAAGCCATAGCCTTGAAGGAAGCGATCTAAAATATTATCTCATTACAATTTTCTCATGTCTCTTTTGAAAGCGATTGTCAAACTGTTGTTAAAGCTCTTTTCTCTAAGCATTTAGGTTACTCTGAATTTAATTTCATTATTATGTCTATTAAGAATCTTTGAACTTGTTTCCGAACTTTGAGGTAAAGTTCATTAAACGCCAAGCGAATTCGATTACTCATACGTTAGTTAAGGCGGTCAATTCTTAGACTAAGCACAATATCTTTAGAACAATACTTTTGTGTATTGAACATTACTTGATTAATGATAATCATTAAGTTTGTTCTTATCAAAAAGTGATAAAATTAATTAAGAATATATTCTTATATTTATAATTAAAAAAACACTATTTAACAAATAAATATAGTTGACAGATATGAATGTTACATTTAGTGTAAAAATTAGTGTAGCATTGCTGAACATTTAATAGATAAGGTTCTCATTCTAATAATTCTGATGGCAATGTGTGTGAAGTTTGAGTTAATATGGCACGCTATACAAAAATTGTAAGACGGCCCATAAATCAATTATGAAAAACAATTAATTTTATGTCATTTCAATAAATTGTCACTGAAAATCAATCATGAAAAACAGTTAATTTTATGTTAATGTCTATGATGCAGAAATCATTGATGCAATAGTTAATATTATGTCATTCAATAAATTGTCATATGGCATGTCTACAATGCAAAAATCATAGATGAAATACAATTAATTTGTTTCTTGGTACTAGTAGAACATGTAGATATTACTATTTCAAGTGTTTTCCAAGAATAATTTTAAGGTTGTTTATGCAAATAAAAAAATTAAAATAATAATTAATTATTAGAAATACTTTTTTTTTACCTATAATATGTTTAATTTTTTATCATATCATTAGTTTTTTTCTCAATGATATAGTAGATGTAATTTTGGAAAAAATTTAATTAACATAATTATATTTTAAAAATGATAATTAAAAAATATTTTTCCCTTAAAACTGACACTTTAAAATTAACAGAGACAATATTTTAATCAATGAAAATTTAAAAAATATTTTAAAAAGATTTATTATTTTAAGTATACCTCGTAAAGGTAAAAGTAGATCATGTTAAGAAATAAAATTAGTAAAAAAAGTAAAATTAGATAAAAGTATAAGTTTCACAAAAGCGCATAAAAAAAGTAAAATTATATAAACAATATTTTTATCAAATTTTAATCACAAATATTTTTCATCAACCTTTTGTAAACAAAATTTTTTTATATGTATTGATAGTGTAAATCATTTTTACTCTGTCAATTAATCACGGCCGTGTATTATAACAAAAGTTAAATTATAATTTTTAAGTTAGTATTATAACATGATCGTTAAATTAAATAGTAATTTTATTTAAATAATTGCATGACTTCCAGTAACATATACAATTGCATTGATATTGTTAGGTGGTCTCCCATATTCATGCAAAATATGTTCAGATACAAGATAGGATTCTAAAGTCAGGCGCTACCTAAGAACCTACTAAAATACCATTTTCAAGTTAAGAGAATTCTCAAGTGTTCTACTTCCTTCTAATATACCAATTTGCATGAGAACATAATATTATTCAGAAATTTCCAAATTCACCAAATCGCTTCATGTACAATCAAAGATAATCCCTTTTAATCCTAGGCAGACTACCACTAGCAAAGAGCAACTAAAAAATAGCCAACAAATCCCTAGATAGCCCCTAAACACAACCCAACCAACTAATATCCATGTACCAAGCATAACTCGCCACCTAATAGGTTACAAAGAAATAGGATGTCATCCCTATAACCGCCGAGCATAAAGGACATAGAAAATCCCTTTCCCCAACATGATACCCTTTTTAAGTTAATTTAGTGTAGTAGAAATTTGATCCTGAAGGAGATTTCACGAGAAAACTCTTACTTTTGAGAGCGCCTAACTACGCCATACGTGAGGGAGAACACTCACAACTAAGGGGTCCTGAGTATCTCTATGGATCCCCTGCAAAGAGAGAAAAGAGTAGGCAGAGGAAAGCGAACAAACTCCATCTTTGGAGTGACGCCACCACCATTTATCTACCTGCTCAGAGGGATTAAAACCTCTAATAATTTATAAAAGATCGACAATCGGATCATGTTCATGCTCAAAAATATGATTTCTTCTCCACTTAAGATCCCAGACCCAAGACGCACAATCTCAGTCGCCAACCTCTTCCTTGTTGATAAAAAAAGAGAAAAGCGTTAGGAACCAAGCACTAAGAGGAGATGACTCCAACCAAGGGTCATTCCAAAAAGAGGTACAAAGACCTGAACCAACCTGTTTGAGCAAGCCATCACATAACTAGTCAGAAGGGTCTTCATATTTATAACTAAGAAGAGAGACCCCTCTCCACCAAGAGGATTCTAAATGAAGGCAACCACCTCTACCTCCAGAAAAAGACGATATAGACAAATTACCATATTTAGAAATTAAAATATCATGTCAAATACTAGACGTTGCCGTTAACAACATCCACTTCCACTTGCCCAAAAGGGTCAAGTTAACAAATCATGTCACGCTCACCTAAACCATCCAACTTCTTGTGCTTACACACCACATCTCAATTAACCGATACAACCTTAGAACCCCTCTTAACCCCACCCTAAAGGAACCTTCTCTAAATTTTTACTATATTCTACCAAACCTTAACAAGCATCTTCAAGAAAGACAAAAAAATATAAGAATGGAATTTAGAACCGAAATGAGGAGGATCATTCTCCCTCTAAGGATACGCACTTATGGCTACGACAGAGAAGTCGAATAGTAATGAGGTTTAACAAGGGTTCTCAAGTAGAGGATAAATGAGGATTGACTCCAACCAGAACACCAAGGTACTTGAAGGGAAGAGACTTTTGCTTACAATGGAGAAAGTCACAAGGAAGATATAAGAAGGTTGGGTCACAGTTTACTCCGACGAGAGTACTCTTATTAAAATTCACTTGAATGCCTAAGGTAAGATCAAGAACCCTGAGAATCACTAAGATGGCCCAAAGTTTAACAATAGAGGCCTCAACAAGAATGATAATGTCATCTGCATACTACAAATGAAGGACCACCAAGTCCGATGCTCCAACTCTAAACCTAGAGAATCGTTGTAGTTCCACTACTCTAGAAAAAAGATCGATAATAAATATTTCAGTGTTAATAAATTTTATGCGACAAACTTGTATTTCGTAAGATATATAGACACAGGTTGTGTTGGACCATATTTGACTTAACCTTTTATAAAACTCGCTCAAATTTTAATGGATAAGTTTATCGTGCAACTCAAAATTTTCTTTTCGAAATTAAACTGGATCAACTCTTTCAATTAAGAGTGAGTTGGATTGGGTTCGTAAGTTGTATTTAAAATAACATAGTTTTAGGTAATTTTTTGGGTTAATAGCTATTTTTTCCTACCAATAAAGCTATTTTTGAAGAAAAAAAATTGTAAAAACCTAATTATCAAAATTCATGATATTGCAGGCCTTTTTGTTTATTTTTTATTTTTTTAATGATGCAGATTAAGAAATTTTCATTTTTAACATTTATAATTTTTTTTAAAAATCCAAATGGCTTTTATTTTTATTTTTTAGAAGTTTGAAAATTCTTAAAATAAAGTAAATAAAAAATTAAGTAAAGAATGGTGTTATTCATTTATAAAGTAACAATGATTAAGATATTATCAACTTATCATTCCACATGAAATATCAATAGTCTCGTACAATCATTACTAGTCAATGAGAACGTGAATGCTACATAGATCCATCTTATATGTTAAGTGTTTAAATGAAAAATTAACGTAATGAAACAATGATAATGAAAACAATTGCATAAAGTACAACTCTTTTGTCTAGGAATCATTGTAGGAGCAGTAAAATGTTTCAAAGTTAGTACCTTAATATAATCTTTCCTCTTATAATTACTATACATTGTCAACGTAAAAAATTTTACACCGTTAATTCATCACCATTAATCTAATTGCATTGTTTTATAAATGGTTAAAATGAAAGTCAAACTACTCCTAACATTCAACGTCTATGATTAATTGATTGTATATACATCGGTGCATTTTAATTAAAATAATAATAAAAAATATGTATATGTCATAACTAAAAGAAGAGTACTATAAAACCAACATGTACTTCCCCAAAGAGAACATTCACAGCCAAAGAGACATTAAAAACATGGGTTGTTTAAGTCTCTTATCAACTATTTTCGTTCTTCTTTTTCTTCTTATGGTCCCCATTAATGGAAAACCTCGAGTCCCTGCATTGTTCTTCTTTGGAGACTCTACTGTTGATGTTGGCAATAACAACTATCTACCTACTTTTGTTAAAGCAAACTATCTTCCTTATGGAAGAGACTTTGTGAATCACTATCCAACCGGAAGATTTTCCAATGGAAAAGTTATTAGTGACTTCGCATGTGCTTTTCTTTCCCTTCAGAAACTACATTATCTTTAGTTATATAAATTTTCTTTTTATATTACTTGTGTATCTGTGTTATCATCTTGTTTATTTGTCTTTACTAAGTATTTTATTTTTATTTTTTTTCCAGCTGAAATCTTTGGATTTACCTCCTATCAACCTGCTTACCTCAGTTTATATATCAAAGGAAAGAACATCTTGAATGGGGCTAACTTTGCCTCAGCTGGTTCTGGTTACCATGATTCTACTGCCAAATTATTCGTAAATATATTTAAATTGTCTACAGCATAAACTCTTTGATCGCAAAATATAAGTAAAAGTAGTTTAAAAAATTAACGTATATATCAAAAATACATCAATTTTTTTTGTGCCAAATTTATACTTATATTTGAGACTAAAATAGTAATATATTTCTTACAGTTAATACTCAAATTGATTCTGAATGTTAAATGATGATATTGTTATATTTTCGTTGTAGCATTCGCTTTCATTGAGCCAACAATTGGAACACTATAAGGAGTACCAGAAGGATTTAATGAAAATAGCAGGGAGAACAGATGCATTGTCAATTATAAATGGTGCTTTATATATGGTTGGTTTTGGAAGTGGTGATATTTTATTGAATTATTACCTAAATCCATTGCTTCGCCTGGTTTATACTTCTGATCAATTCACAGACATTCTTGTGCAAAATTATGTCGATTTCATCCAGGTATATACATAAGTATCTGATCAAAATAGCGAAAGCCTTTGCGCAATTGCGACAATTATTTAAAAAATTTCTGATGATATATATTTTTTGACAGAATTTATATGCACAAGGAGCAAGGAAAATTGCTGTGAAAACATTAACTGCGATAGGTTGCTTGCCTGCAGCCATTACCGTGTTTGATTCTGCCTATAGCAACACATGTGTGGTGGAATTGAACAATGTTGCTCTTAGCTGTAATCAAAAGCTGAACACCACATCTGTGAACTTGAGAAAAATGCTTCCCGGTCTCAATTTGGCTCTCCTTGACGGCTATCAACCTCTTTATAACCTAGTCACAAAACCCTCTCAATATGGTAAAAAAAACCTACCTCTAATATTGTCTCTTAAGTAAGCCTCTTTCTTCATTTTATGACATGTAACATTAATAGTCTTTCACATGCAGGATTTACTGAAACAAGGAATGGGTGTTTTGGGACAAGCTTCCTAGAGAAAACTTCTACTTCATTTAATAATAAAAATACCTTTATAAAATTATGTCCTAATGCATCAAAATATGTATTCTGGGATGCTCTTCATCTCTCAGAGACTGCAGTCAAGTTTGTGGCGTCTGAGATGTTTTCTAATGCCATCTCTCTTATACCGTAAACAAACATCTCTAAGGTCATACACCTAAAATTGTGAATACCTAAGCCATGCATCATTTGTGTATTTTCAATAACGTGATGTGGCATGTAATGTGTGATGTTTATGCAAGTTCGCATGTGTGTTAATTAATATATAAATAAATTTAAACTAATTTGGGTTTAATGGGAAAAAGTATATTTAAGACCAAACTAATTTGGGTTTAATGCAAGTTTTATTTAAGACCAACGCTTCTTTGCAGGTTTTATTTGATGAAATGTAAAATTTAAATTATAACTAAGCTTTTAAAAATTTACATAGACCTTATAACTGTAAGAATATTTATTAATTAAATATATAATATAATTCATATATCGAGGTATTATTCAAATGACATTGAAAGAGTTTTATTCAATATGAAAATGTTTATTCAAATGATATGAAGTGGTGTATATAACATGAAAATGTTGAATAAACATTAAATGTGTTAGTAATAAAGTTTTACATTAAACATGGTAGTAGGAAAGACAAAAATTTAGTAAGTTATGATAGTTTATTAGTAGCAGTTATGTTTTAGTTTATGTTTTAGAATTGTAAAAGCTATTTGGGTCTATAAAAGACCAAGAGTGTATTTTATTTTATAAGAGCAATATAGAAGTATTCATATAGAAGCCTGATCATTTTATAACAGAAAAGATGTCATTTAAATAATATGCGAAGTGGTGTTATTCAAATAAAATGAAAAAATGTTATTTAAATAAAGTGAAAAATGTGTTATTGTGAATGGATATTAATAACATCTATTAGTGTAAGGTGTTATTGTGAATGGATATAAATATCAACTATTGAGAAAATGTGTTATTGGGAAGGAATTATGAACAACATCTATAAATAGTAATAACTTGATAGAAGTCAAACACGATTATTGAACAACGAGTTCTATTCCTTTCATGAAACTTTCTTTACCAAATGTCCATCACAAAATGGTATTGGGGAAGTATGAATCAGAAAAGGATATATTGGATATCAATTGAATATGATCGTCTTTGTACTAATCAAAAAGTACATGTCTGCATGTTCCCCATACAAGGGCACAGAGACTCAGAGGTCTTTGTAGGTATATAACATGTTTTGGTAGCGATGGCTTGCTCACGACGGCGATAAGCCTTATGCGGTGGTTTTTGATACTGTTTTAGAGACCAGTTCAATGAGCTGTGAGATCCTACAGGCGGCCCGCGCTGCTTGATTGCAGGCGGGAGGTTAGGTTAATAGGATGTTATGGTTACATGGAGCTTGATGCTCTTTGAGTAGTGGAGAATGTGTATGACTTAGAGTCTATCTTTTATCCTTTTGAGAAGTAATGTATTTATAGCGGTCTCTCGGACCAAGGGTTTTCTCCCTTTATATGGTCTTAACTTGTCCCTTCATACTAGGGAAGGTTAATGACCACCTATATTTTAAGGGCCAGTGGCAATTTCCTTTTACTTGACTTCGAGGCGAGGTTCGATGAGCCCCTTGAGAAGATTCGTTAGATCTCTCACAGGCAATACAATTGTGGGACGAGAGCTTCATAATCTAGGATTTTACCAAATATAACACTACACCGTCCCATAAACACAATGACTTTTCTTTTAAGGGGAAAGTGTTTAAAAACTACTTTCCCCTCTCCTTGCCACGTTGAGAGCTCCCTCGACAAATAACGGTCTCGTTTGTTGGCATCACTCCTTGTTTATGGGTAAGTCCCTCATTGGGTCTTGTAAAATAGTAGGCGATTCCTTCAATAAATGGTGATTATCTCATCCGAAGGCACTTGAATTCTTGGGCGCATGCGGGACATGGGATTTTAACAAGCTTAAAGAAATGTGTATATTTTGAGGTGATGTTCCAAGACATTCAAATGACAGCCACTTTGGCCAAATTGAGTGTTCGAGAGGAAGAGGCAAGGGTAAAATTTAATGCACCTCATGATGGTGTTTCTTGGAAAGGAAAATCATATTTATGTATTCATGTGTGGCATTCAAGCATGGAGACTTTCCCGCTTCTGGAAAAAATATATTGGGTGAACGTGTGAACCCCTTTCCTTAGACTTTCTATAATTCTTCAGAAGCATTATCTTGTTTTTTTTTCTTTTCATAAAAATTCTTTCAATGTTAGTTTTAGTTCTCTTGAACCTTCACTTCTACCGACCATAGTAAAGAAAACCCCCACTACAAGAAAACATCAAATAAGTCAGGTGATTATGCTAGGTGATAATTGTTGCATCCCAAAATTTGTCCTCTTATCTGTTTCTTTTATCTGACTTACATTTACCATTGCATTTGCATACATTCATTAGGTCATTAACATACATTCATTCAAATAAGGCACTTGACGTTCAACAGTTCAGTGGGTGTGCAAGATAGGGTTTTCAGTTCTTTTGAGGTGTACATGGCAAATAAAGTCGGATTCTCCTGACTCTCCTGATTCTTCTTCAATCAGTGAATGCGTGAAATTAAGGTTGTGAAATATGGTTATTATGGAATTCTTGTTCTCAAGTTGCAAGGCTATTAGGGTTTATTTCCCTATGTGCAATCAAAGTTAGGTTTTTTAGCTATGGTACTCCAAGTGAAATTTCTTCCTCAAGGATCATTGAGTTAGAATTTTCTATCCACCTTACTCAAGCTTGTTAGCGTTTTATCAATGGATGTTGCATTTGCTTTAGTGTTTCATGTCAAGAACATCCTGGTGACAAGTTATTATTCTATGCTACATTTCTTATCTTTTTCAAAGATTTTTGAAGGACAAGAGATCATTCTTGAGATCAGTGATTCAAAGGCTTGTGGTTGCAAAGAATTAATTATGGCATTAAAAGTAAAATGGTGATAAAGACGTTTGCAAATAACTTGGTTTATTGATTGATTTAGGGGTTCATTGAAAATGCAAGTTTGTTGGAATCCGTTCATTGAATTTTGAAGTGGAGTATCCACAGAATAACCAAATTGAATTAAGGATCTTAAGCATTGGTTTGTTTTCAAGAATTTGATTCAAGCAAGATTGGGAGATTGAAGTTCGAATTTGAAGGTTACATTGAATTTGGATTCTTGGTTTGGTAAGTAATCGTGCAAGTTATTAATATGTTCAAGTTGACCAATGTTTCTTAAAGTGCAAGAAATCCTTTCTTGATTTATCTTGAATTCAAAGATTAAGACCTGGAATCATTCATACTACATTCAAAGTCTACTAAAGGTTTTAAAACAATTTCAATCCAAAAATTTAAGCATTCATCCATAATCTCATTTGAGATTCCACACAAGGTTCATCATTTTTATTCAACATCACTCATAATTCATCATCCATTATTCAAGATGTCGAGTTTCATGATTTATTCTAAATTGCAAAATCAAAGAAAATGTTTGAAATGTCAAAGTGAAAATTGAAGGAAGTTTTGTTCATTAATATCCTCAAGCAATTACAAGTTCAAAGTACTACAAATTGATCATTACTCCATTGCAAAATACAATTACACAAATACCATACAAAAATTACAACTTCAAACCAATTCATGAAGGTTTTCATCACAAAGTCATAGCTTTTAATCAAAAGGATTAGTATCAAAATACATGAAAACTCAAGTCCTAGAGCTAAGGTTTTTCCAATCTTCAAGCTTCACATGCTTTTGCTACCTCTTTTTCAAGCAAACTCCAAAATGCATATCCATGCTACAACAAATAAAGCCCAACTGCTGCCCGGATCTACACCATAAACCAAATCAGCTCACTTCCAAAACAGCCCTGCCATCGGTACATCCATGCCATGTCGAACGTGCGTTCAAAACCACAAACCTGCATAATTTAAACTACCATATCAGCCCGCATTCATTCAACAACCAGAAGCAAAACAGTTAAACCAGGTCCACAAATAACTGAACATGTTCGCGGCACAGCGATCCGAAATCGGAGAAGATGAAGTTGAGGCGATGAAGCCATTTGCGGCCGCCACAACGTTTTTGTGAGGTAGAAGACGCATCTGCGTACAAGAATCTGAAACACCACTACATTTGCACCTTGATTTCTCTTATTTTATTGATATAAACAAGTTTATATGAATAAATTTTATTGATTACTTTTTGGTTTGTTAACAAAAAAGGTATTGGTGGACCAAACTTGATGGACCTAGCATCAATCTACTTCAACATACCATCGCTTACTGGTTGTAACCCCTTGACTCTTTCATTTTTATGTTCCTTTTAATTAATTGCTATGATTGATTTTTTTTTTTGCGACATTGGTAAGTAAAAGAGACTTGGTTTCAACAAGATTTCGAAGCAAAGGAAGAGTGCAATCTTCATCAAGGAAGTTTTATTTAGAGTTTTCTTATCTTTTGCACACGTTGAAGAAGAGACAAACTTTTTCCGTTAGGTACCTCCCGAATCTGTTTTATTACTTTTTTAGGCATCATGCTAGAAGCATATAGCTAAGAGTTGTGATGAGTCAAAGTTGAGAAAAAGATGTTGACTTTTTGTACTTAGAAAAACTCTAAGTTTTTTCTTCAAAATGACCTATAATGTCTTGCATCCAAACATGGTCTTCTATTTAAAATTTGCTCTTGACCAACAAAGATGGCATGAAGTAGACCTCTTGAATGACATTTTGAGACTTGAATCATTTAAAAACTCCAAAAATTGAGAAAGTTATGACTTTGTGAAGTTGGTGAAAATTCATGAGATGGCCTATAATCTTTTGCATCCTTATGGCATCTTCCATCCATTTACAAGCTTAGCACATAAAAGAAGAGTTGAAGTTCACATCTTTAAGATCATTGTGGAAAAATAATGGGCTCAAAGAGATAAAAATTGACCAAGTTATGATCTTTTGAAGTCATATAAGGGAATTTGATGGCATATTTAGAGGACTTGTAATCTTTCTTCATCATTAGATAACCCTTTTAAGAGAAGCATGCTTTTGGAATCACTCAAAAATGCCAAAAAATGAGCAAGATATAGCCTTTAGAACTTCAAAATCCTAGCTCCTAGAGCAACAAGATAC